CGGGTTCACGGGCATCAATTGGTTCAAAGCGATATATCTTGTCTTGACAGACTTGGTGAACGCAGTCACGTACCCGGCAGAATTTACACTTAGTTCCAAGGGGTTGCTAGTGAAGAAACAGACGTCGCAGCCTGACGAGCCTCCGCTGGGAAACGTGTTCTGCTCGAATGTTTTTGGACACTACATGCTCTCGCACGCATTGATGCCCCTGCTCTCTGCCTCCGAAGTAACTCCAGGCCGTATCATCTGGATATCCAGCCTCGAAGCTACAAGTGCAGATCTCGACCTCTCAGACCTCCAAGCCCTAAATACCCGATGCGCCTACCAGTCTTCCAAACGCCTCACGGACGTCCTCGCCCTGACCTCAGATCTCCCAGGGTCCTCGCCGTGGGTTGACAGCTACTTATCCACATCTAACCCTTCTGCCACTGCAAAACTACAGCAGAATAGAACCAGGAATCCAAACCGCACCACCGCACACTCAAAACCACAAATCTACATCGCCCACCCAGGCATCTGCGGCACCGGCATCATGCCTCTCCTTCCCCCCCTCTTCTACGCCATGATCGCCGCATTCTGGCTCGCCCGCATGCTCGGATCGCCCTGGCACACCATCTCAACCTACAGCGGCGCCTGCGCTCCCGTATGGCTAGCGCTCACGCCACAGTCTGTACTGGACGCTGCTGAGGGCGTGTACGCGCGTTTAGGTGGCGGGAAACCGAAATGGGGATCGTCCAGTGACCGGCTGGGTCGGCAAAGCGCTGTGTCCACCGAGGTGGAGGGCTGGGGGTATGGTGGGGTGGTTGGTGCTGCTGTGTTGGAGGGTGACAAGAAGCGGAGAAGGAAGGACGGGGCGACGGATTTGACGGCGGAGGAGAAGGTGGAGTTTGAGGAGCTGGGGAGGAGGTGTTGGCGGGAAATGGAGGAGTTGAGGGTGCGGTGGGAGAAGATTTTGGAGAAGGAGGAGGAGGCAAGGGGGATCTTGAGTGGGCTGTAGTAATTTTGTTCGTTCTAATGAGATCAGGGTCATTCCATGCGTTGGCTTGCGAGGAAAGGTTGGTCCCCGTTGGTGAGGCATGTTTGGATATACGGCTTGGTTTTCCTCCGTTTTGGGGTTGTTCCAGGGTCTCTCTATTTCGGGCGCAATGTCTTTTTTTTTTTTTTTTTTTTTTTTTTTTTTTTTTTTTTTTTTGTTCCTCATTTTTTGAAGCCTTTTTAATTATTGTAATATACCCGCTCCACGTATATGGCGCTTACATTGTAATCTAGATAATACCTCTAAGCGGGTTTAATTGTGATACACAGATATCCGAAGAAATCTTTATTGTTTCTCACATTTTATGATTTTCTGGCTTGCTTTTCATACGAGACCTACCCTTACTGCGTATATGATATGAACCCCATGTGGTAGGTATGCGCCCTGGAATGTGAAACATGGTCCAGATCCTGAAATAAAAGGATAAATTACACACCAGAGAGGAGGATCCACTAAGTAAATTAAACTAAGATTAAAATTCGAGCCAGATCTTGCAGTATATCAGGCAAACAAAAGCAATATATATATATGTAAGGCAAGAAAGGGGAAGCAAGATACACTACAGAGGTGGAGGAAAATGGAAAAAGGAGAATGTACGAAGGAAAACTAAAATAGAAGAATTAGGTTCCTGAACCCCAGGCAAAAACGCAGAACCAAGTCAGAAAATGGAGCGGAGAAAACGACGCATGCAATATGTGAACAAGGGAGATTATGAGCATATGGGATCTCTCGAAGGAGTTGAGAACCGACAAAAACCATGAGAACAAAAAGTTGGGCCGCGGAAGATATTTTTTCACTCATCGGACATGAATGAGCTAGTAACGTATTTAAAAAAAAGGAAAGAAAAGAAAAGGGGGAATAAATAAATAAAATCAGGGAGGAAAAGCAAAAATGTCAACCTCATCAACACCCTGCCCGCCGCTCTATAGGCATAACCCACCCGTTTTTGAACGTCCCGTTTTATTTGTATTACCTTTGATTCGATCCAGACAAACCCACGCACCCTGCACCCACCTCTTTGACGTTTCGCGTCCAACACGTAACATACCTCCACACCTCGCGCGCCGTTGATAATTATCTGCACAGAACGACTCCAATCCATGCTTGAAATTAGGTTGTCAAAAGTGATTATAAAAAATGAAGGCAAGTTTGTCCTCTCCGTTGTTGGTATTGCTTAAAAGATCTTCTTAGTGGAATGAAGAGAAGGCTCATGTAATAGGATATGTTGGGTTACATGATAATAGCCGGAACTATTAAGATATATATGTTGTTAGTTATGGGATATACATGTATTTTAACGAAGAATTGAGGTAATCGAAAAAAGAAAATAAGATCAAATACATACCGTCAACGTTCTGTTTAATGCTCTTGTGAGGGAGAATAGAGCCTCCATTGACGTAGACCTCGTCCCCAATAGTTACATCGTCCCCAAGGACAGTAACATTTTCCAGTCGTGCCCACCTACCCACGGTGCTATTCCACCCGACAATCGTCGACTTTACCCACGCATGATCCTTGACTTTGCTATTCTCTAGTAGGACGCAGCGCTGAAGTCGTACCCCATCGCCAATCACGACATTCGGTCCAATCACGACATTGGGTCCAATACGGCAGTTCTTCCCAATTGTAGCAGAGGGATCTACCATCACATTTCCTCCGTAAACGTATGGCTCTGAAAGCGGGCACAGAAATTTCGAATTGCGTTTGGCGAGTGAAGAAAGATACAGGCAGGTACCCGTGAGAAAATCCTTGGGCTGTCCAACGTCCATCCAAAATCCTTCCAGGTCAAAGGAATGAAGCTGGCCATCTTTGCATATGGCCGGGAAAGTTTCCTGTTCAATAGAAGTAGGGCGGAGCTCAATGCGCTTCAGGACGCTGGGGTTCAGGATGTAGATTCCGGCATTGATGCGGTTCCCCACGAACTCGACAGGCTTCTCAACAAAGCGGTCAATGCGCGATGGATGATTTGGTTTATGTACCACAACACCATATTTAGAAGGTTCCTCCACTTTTGTCACCACAATTGTTCCTTCGTCTCCGTGTTTCTTGTGGAAAGCAGCTAGTTCTGCAAAGGGATATTCACAAATCACGTCTGAGTTGAGAACGAAGAACGGGCTGTCGTCCTTTCCTAGGATCTCCTCTGCGAGTTTAAGAGGTCCCGCGGTGCCTAACGGCTCCGATTCGACAGAGAAGGTGATTTTTACATTATATATTTGCTCGTACTGTAATTGTGATTTCCGCCAACGATCAGCATACTTTTTCTTTTTTCTTTTTGCCCCTTGGTTTTTGCAAGCAATAGCACGACTAGCTAGCACTAGTTAAGCTTTCAATAGGATAAATAAACGCGTACCTTCTCAAGCGCAGCTACCATGACATCTGGCCGATAATTAACAGCGAGAACAATATCTGTTACACCGGCAGCAGCTAAGCTCTCAACTTGATGTAGGATCATAGGGCGGTTGGCGAACTCCACCAGCGGCTTCGGAAGGGTAAGAGTCTAGGTAAAAAAGAGGTATAAGTATCGAATGGAGCCCCCGCATAGTTTTCGAGGTGACAGACGGGATTCGCATTTTGCGAAGCGTACGTACCAGGGGTCGCAGACGGGTTCCAAACCCCCCAACGAGAATTAGGGCTGCAAACCACAAAAAGAACGTCAGCAAATGGATCAATTGCCCTGTCGGGAGCATCCCGAATGCAGGTAATTCTTACCTTTCATAGTTGATTCGAGATATTAGGTAGGGTGGTAAAGGGAAATATGAGGCCAGCAGAGACCGGCCTTGATTCAAATTAAGGTACAGGTGATGTGGGGTAGAATGGAAGTAAGGCAAACGAGTGTGTGCAAAGAGGAGAAAAGACAGTAAAACGGCAGAGGCAGATAGAGGAATTGAGAGTATTAAGAGGAGCGGACGGAGTGTCGGGGGGCGCAGGAGGAGAGGAAGTCGAGGGAGTGTTTGTGAAGAAAGAAAGGGGAGGAAGATACGACGTGGTATGAATTCTGTCTCTGATGGGATGCGGTGGTTGTTTGAGCCAAGGGCGACGAGGCCACATGGACCGCGCTAGCGGACACAGGGCCGGAGGTGACTCGGGCCAGAGGTACCTTCGACGGCAATTCACTAGCAAACTCTGCGGTGTGCCGTCCCCGAGCAACCTCAGCTGTAGGTACCACTGCTGCGCCCTCTCGAGGGCAAAAACTAGCTAAGAAAAGAATAATTTATAATTTCCATCCAAGAAGCCGCCAGTTTCTGTCATCTGATCCGAATGGCGATCAAACTCCAGCCCATGACTGGCTCTTGTGTAGCCCCGGTTGGCTTTAATTTGCCAGCCTATTAAAAGCTTCCAGAGGGGAGTTCATAAACACACTAACTTTTGAACTGAAGCATTTGTTATGGTAATTAATTTCCTGGAGTTATTGGGCATAGTTCTGTTGAGATTCTCCTCCACTCAGGCGATCCCATGTTCCCTATGCCCGAGTCTTGTCGCTAAAGTTACGGATGCTTGGGAGGATAAAAGGAAGCTTTTTTATTCAAGAGACAATTCCAGTGCTTTTTTTTTTTTTTTTTTTTTTTTTTTTTTTTTTTTTTTTTTCCTCTCTCTCTTAATTCAGTAGAAATAACTAGTAGAAACTTTTTTGCGCCAGCGACAAGGGGCTCTGGATATCCCATCCAAAAAAATTTAGTTAAACCATAACTGCACTTCCCTGAAAATTGGCACTCTTCAATATTGTTGGTTTCAATCCCATGACCAAGACACCTGAAGAGAACCTCCGCGAAATAATAATTAATCAACCACGTTCCTGGCATCCTATGATTATGTAGGGATCTTTCGACTTGCATGGCTTAGGGCAGCAAACTGGGGAAGTGTGAGGTGAAACCATGCCGAAGTCGAGCACAACATTCAGTTTCACAGTGGACCTAAAGTTTATTTATTGTCTATGACATAAATCTGGTTTTTCGGGAAAACATTCAGTTATGGCTTATTGGGTATCCGGTGGGAGACACGGTTCATCCCCTGGCACCCCAGGTCGAATTGACGACTGGTCGACCTTTCCGTAAATATGAGGGCTGATAAAATCCAAAATCCAATCTCTGACTCTGCGTACCTTCACTAACTGCGGGTGAGAATCGCTCGTTCGATCGGCAAGGGCCTGGGCGGTAAACAGGCCCTGTTCATCACTAGGGTCAATCGGCGCGCGATGTAGAAGATCAACTTTCGTCATGTTATCCTTCAAGCTCTGACCATATACTTTACCCCGAAAGCTATTGAGTGCCACAGACCGGAATAGAACGATATCTCGCGGGCGTAACCCGCGTATCGACCCATCAAGGCCTTGCTTCGCACCATCCCCCGACTCGCCTCCCTTTAGGGACAACCAGCAAGTGATCTGGAATCCTGACCTTGTTTCATCGCCCACCACTAACTCGACAACATCGGTCTCGTCTCCCCAACGAGTTCGCACACGTTTGCGCGGGTATATCGTGATTATTGCCACGATCAGATTGATAGGGATCATCCGAGGGGAGATCGAATGGAGATACGCCGCGCTGGGGATATCTCTTAGATCACTCAAATGTCCACGTATAGGGGGCGGCAGGGGATGCTGATGGCTGTCAGTGTCATGATCCTCTGTCGACTGGTTCGCAGCGCTGACTATACTGATATCGTCCACGGTAGTCTCGAAGTTGGATTCTGTGGAAAACGAATCCATCCCGCTCAGCAAAATAGAGTCTCCGCCCCCTTCATGCACTGCAAAGGAATGATCGTAGAATTCTGACCCAGCCTCCACCTCAATATCTAGTGTCGCCTGTAATCCAGTATGTCTCTCAATTGCACCACCCTGCGCGAAGAACTCCGTGCCTTCATAGTCAATATTCTCATCATCCTGGTTCTCATCAACTTCGTCATGTTCTCCTGGGAAGCCATAATGACGCTTGCCTTGCTCAATGCGCCGCCAACGCACCGGGCCCGCTTCTGTGGTACCGCGTCCATCACCAGAACCAAGGAGGCAAAACCAGCACTCGTTCAGTAGCTCTGAAACATCCCATTTTAGCGCACTGGGACGGGGTGCTCCCGTTAAGGTTATAACCTTCACCGGCATGGCTCCTGTCAGGTGTTTGAGAAACCAACATCCATGGATGAAGAGCCGTAGGTACGGACGTAGTAGTTATTTGGTTGCCTGTTTCTCGCTTGGAACATGCTTGCTGGTGAGAACGGCGTAGCAATGTATAGAATATTGCGGTTATGTGATGGAGGAATTTGAAACTATGTAGGAAAAGGCCAGCACGTCAGCCCAAGTGCCCTTCACAAGCTAGGCTCTTTCATGGCCAGCTAGGCTCTTTCATGGCCAGCTAGGCTCTTTCATGGCCAACATGGGAGGAATTTAACGTCAAAAAGCTAGCTGCTGGTGGTGGTTTGGTCTGGAACGTTCAAGAATACAGCCATTCAACTGATATATCCAGTCACATGATTATATGCGAACTTGACCTCAAACTTGGTGAAGTCTGATTCCTAACGTAGAGTTGATTGAAGGGGGAAATGCTTTGTTTTCTTTTAGGTAAATATCCTTTAGATGGCGACCATCACCTTCAACAAAAAGAAACCTATTCATCCATTTCACTGCCTCCAAAATGACGTTCTAACCTTACCAAAACTCCGATCGGTACCTGTGATGACTAAGCGTCGTAACCGGCGATCTCGGCTACGGTGCGGCTTCGGGACCAAAGTGGCAATATCGTCGAACTCTAACAAACTCGCCGCTTGCTACCGAGAAACAAGAGAACAACCAACAACCCAGGTCTTGTTCAAACGCCCCAACAATGGCTCTGACGCCTTCTTTATACTGAATGGATTTGCTCGACTGAGACCCTGGTCGCCATTCAGCCAAGTCCAGAGTTATTTGCCCGTCTTTTGGCTGACTCGCCTGCCACAGGATGGCCTTCAACGCTCCGCTTTGCCTGCCCGTACGGAATTTTTCACTTTTCTCCCCTAATCTGGACAGAGTACATTACTTACTGACCATGAAAAATATGCAGAATGCGGCAGCTTTGACTACGGATCTTTGGCCTTCCGTAGCTAATGCTCTGGCAACGCCGTGGAAGAGTTTTGGCCGGCCATCGTCATCGGAAATTCGTCCTGCCAAGGAACGTCATGATCTTCTTCCGAGCCGCCGGGATGAATCTTCAACGGTGAGTCCTTCGCTTGGCCATATATTGACACAACATGCGTTGCTAATGATCTCAGGTTCAATCTCATACGGCCCTTCCTGAGTGTTTGAAGTCAGTCCCGATGAACGCTCTGCGAAACAGCTCCAAAGCAAACCCTGCGTTTGGCCAACAAACCCTGTCTTCAATATTTTCTTCTCGTACGTTGAACCTACCCGCAGTCTCTTTTTCCCCCTTTCCACCTGGCTAACAACCCAGCTTTAGCTACTCGGACAACTATTTTGAACAACCGGATTCCTTCGACGGCGAACAATGTCAAATCGACCTCCCCACGCCAGTACTCTACCATTTCTCTCCTCCAACTCGACCGTTCGCGGAGGATTCCAGAATTGAAAGGTGTTTCACAGATTCAGCAGCACAGATTCCTTTACGGCGGACCTTTCCAGAATGTCTTAGCCCACACTGAGAGAACCGCAAACAGCAAACCTCATAGCGTGAGCGCCCAAAATGCATTTTACAACGCCTTGCTTCGCGCCAACATGCCTGCAATCATCATTGAACGATACCGGAGCGGAAAGTATGCCAGTGATGGGTTCAGTGAAGCTACATACCTAAAGGCTCTTGAGCGTGTCGGCGGCTTGGATGCTAGCGCTGGTTTCAGGCCTGCACAGAACCAATTTCAATCGCAAAATCAGAATCTCAACAATGATCAACTCCAAGCGGTTGGACAAGCGGTTGCGGCCCATATGAATGGGGGACAAGTTGGACTATCTACGAAAAAGGACGGTACTGGAGCCAAGGAATCCCCTCTGTACGTTGTGGTGGAGGAATCTCTGTCAAGCTCTATTTATCGCTGGGTCAAATTCATCTTCATTTTCCTGCTCTTCACCTACGTCTCCTTCGTCGTGATCAACATTATCGCAGACACTACAGGTATACTGAAAAACGTGCGAGGCTCCCAGCCCAACGAAGCGCAACCGCAGCACCAACAAGTTCGGTTCAGTGATGTTCATGGATGCGACGAGGCCAAGGAGGAACTACAAGAACTAGTCGAATTTTTGACTAACCCTGAACGCTTCAACACGCTTGGTGGCAAACTACCCAAAGGTGTGCTCCTGGTTGGACCCCCTGGTACAGGAAAAACACTACTTGCTCGAGCTGTGGCTGGAGAGGCTGGTGTACCTTTCTTTTACATGTCTGGATCGGAATTCGATGAGGTATATGTTGGTGTAGGAGCCAAGCGTGTTCGCGAATTGTTCAATCAAGCCCGAACCAAGGCACCTGCGATCATATTCATTGACGAATTGGACGCGATCGGAGCTAAGAGAAATGAGAGAGATGCCGCCTACGTGAAGCAAACTCTGAATCAACTTCTGACCGAACTCGACGGGTTCTCCCAGTCTACTGGCGTTATTATCATTGCAGCAACCAACTATCCTAAACTACTCGATAAAGCCCTAACACGACCTGGCCGGTTCGACCGCAGGGTCGTAGTCGGCCTTCCTGACGTCCGCGGCCGCGTTGATATCCTGAAACACCATATGAAAAACGTCCAAATAAGCACAGATGTTGACACTACTGTTATTGCCCGTGGAACACCTGGTTTTTCCGGCGCCGATTTAGAGAATCTCGTCAACCAAGCTGCCATTCATGCCAGCAAGAACAGACAGACCAAGGTCGGCCCTAAGGACTTCGATTGGGCCAAGGACAAAATAATGATGGGAGCCGAAGCGCGCAGCAGAGTTATGCGGGAGAAAGATAAGCTTCTTACCGCATATCATGAAGCAGGACATGCTCTTGTCGCTTACTTCTCTCCCGCTGCGACCCCCCTGTATAAAATTACTATTGTTCCGAGAGGCATGTCTCTGGGTACCACTCATTTCCTCCCGGAAATGGACATCGTTTCACGGAATTATACTGAGTTTTTGGCGGATATCGACGTGTCTATGGGTGGTAAGGCTGCTGAAGAACTTGTTTTTGGACCTGAAAACGTCACGAGCGGTATATCATCGGTATGTTTTTGCCTTTTTTGGCCTTTCGCTCCTCCAATATTTGATATTTCACATCTTAGCTAACTGTTCCTTTTTCTCTTGGGGTAGGATCTTCAACATGCAACCAACACCGCCTTCTCGATGGTGACGCAATATGGGTACTCCAAGAAACTAGGCTCCATCGACCTCGTTACAAACTACAAGACTTTATCTTCGGAGACCAAGCAAGAAATCGAATCCGAAGTCAGACGTCTAGTCGAGGAAGCGAGTCGGCGTGCAACAGCAATTCTCACAGAACACCGAAAGGAACTGGAGCTATTAACCAAGGCATTGATGGAGTATGAGACGTTGACGAAGGAGGAGATGGAAAAGGTATTGAGGGGAGAAAAGTTGGATAAGCTTGAATCGATACCCAAAGCACCAATTATACTGCCCGATGCACTGATGGCGGCCGGATTAAAGCCGACTGCTGGTGAATCTGCCGCGCCAAAATGAGCATGAGTATCATTTAATGCTTTCCTGGTTTTGCTCGAGTTCTTCTTTTATTGTCTTTCCCTTTTTACTTTCTTTTCTTGCTATTATTAGTATACAATTGGTCTCTTGATTCTCCCGTTGTTTGATTGCTTTTTCATATATAGCTTTTTCTTTTCATCATCTTTTTTAGCACTTGGCTTCATACCCTTTGGAAGCATACATGCATGCATACCATCAACACTCATCTCCGAAAACAATTTGACACAGATATACCATTATCTGCTCAGTCACTTTCGCATGCCATATCTCCCATGTGGTTTTCCCGTCCCCTTTTCTTCTGTGTTCACATTTTCCTTTGTTGGGGGCAAACATACATGTAACACAGCGGAAACAATGGATCTATCAGTTTTAAATTTTTCAGTTTCTTCCCCTTTTCTTTGTAAACTTCTTCCTACTGTTGAGCTATCAAAAAGCACTGCTAACATGTAAAGTACACTTCATTACTATTCCACGTCCCTCAACCGAAGGATTGATATTTACGCCCGGCCAAAAACCACCACTTTTTTATAGGTTAGCATATACATGGACTGTACATACAAAATAACTTTGATTTGCGAAAGCTAATCTAGAAAATTTGACTTTCTCCTGTCAAAACATACCTGGGCCTTCCAGGCCCTATCCTAGTAGGGAAGAATGCTTCCGCAGTCAAATGACAGGGCCACATCTTTTGTAGCCAAGTGGAAAGTTGTGTGCAAGTCGTATGCATGTTCTACCCAGCCCTACACCCAGAATATGCAGGGAACAGTACGACAAAAACGCTGTCTTGACGAGTATTTTGGTTTTAAAAGGAAAAAGCAACCGAGGTGTTATAATTAGCCGCTCCCAGTCAGTTGCTCATCATGACGGGATACTATCAAAGTCCGGGCTGTCACAACAGAATGATATTTATCGGTGGACAGAAACGAAAAGGGCATATCGCCTGGCATTTCGGTTCCAATGATGATTCCGCACTCCCGACTTCATGGTGGATAGATTTGAAATCAGAGAACAAAACCTGCATCAGCTTCAAGGTTGCTGACCAATCAAAGGCCCTTTGGAGTGCTCAAGTTTTACAATTCATCTTTCTGGTCGTGGTTCAACACTTTGCAGTTCGCCATGGATGGTGACTAGTGGAAAACAGGCACAGGGAGATGGGATAGAATGAGAAAACCGAACATGGGACGAGGGGTGAAATTTCCTGTTCACACGAACAGCAAGCCCTTCCCTCATCGAGAAAAAGGAGATGAGGGGTAGAAACGCACATTGCTGCATCATGTAGGAAGCGAGGTGCAGTCCCGAAGCTCTCTCCTTGGCCTCGAGAGGGACAGAGAGAAAGCAGGACGAAGAATGATTTATAGATCCAAAAGACCTGGTTGGTGGCTCAAATGCTTTCGAGGCCTGGTCTGTCCGGCGCCTGATTTAGGCGCGGTTTAACGAGAAACCTTGACCATGGATCTCCGGAGGAGACTGAGTAGTAGGAGTTAAGTTACGGCGTTTGGATGATCGTTTCTCACGAAAATCTGGCTTGAAAGAGCGGTTGAACAGACCATCATTATCAAAGAATAGATTGGGGTATCATTTACCCAACCAGCAAAGGATCTTCTTGCCATCTACCGATTACATCCGTGCAGATATTCCTTCTTCTGACACACGGCGTTGAATTGATGAGAGCGCTCGACTACCAAGCGCGAGACAAGATCGGGCTAGTCGGGTGCCGGTGGTGAGACAGATGGATCAACCTAGCAGGGCCTGGAGCATCCCAACTGACGGGCCGCAATCCCGTGCACGCCGATTGGTAGTTGAGCACCACCACCCGGGGAGGTCATCGCTGAACTTCGTCCTCCCCGACCGATTGCAACCATCCATGAGCATCCTGGGATCCCTTGCAATGCTAGATGAGCATCGGCATACATGTATGTATGTATGTACTCCGTACACCGCCCTAGTACAGGAGATGTAAGCAGGTTGAAACGATGATGGTGTTGGCTGTTCATTGAATTGTGAATTGTGAATTGTGAATTCGTCATTACTTTGGCGGCGATGACTGGAGCAGACTGGTTTCTTTTGTCGTTCTATCATTGCTCCCCTTCCTCCATTTAGCTGGAGGCCACGGCCGGGTGGAGACTTCATGACCACGCGAAATGAATCTTAGACATCGACTGGCAATCACTCTGGCGCTAAATCGAGGAGCGGGAATGTTAATCATTCGCAAATGTTGATCCTCTCCTGTCCGTTTTTTTGGGGGTTCGGTGAATCGCTCCTTGAGAGCGGAGGAGGCAAGAGCGATTCCAGCGGTCTCTACCGAACAAGTATCAGTAACCGCCTATCCGGACATCATTATTATTCTCTAGCGAGTCTCCTCGCTCCGACCGTGCTATTCCAGGAAGCTGAACTCCTTCGATACTGCTTGCAACTTTACCACTAATGTTTGGGCCGGCCGTTTGGTTCATCTTTCCAGCCTTTTGGCGATAGTCGGTAATTCTCTGCATCGGTAAAGTGCCTACGGAGTAACCCTGCCCAGTCCCGGGGTCTGTTGATTGGAACGAGAATTGAACGATTTATCCCGCCTAGCTTTCATTGGACAGAAACCAACCAAGGCCAACGCTCTTGGTTTGCCCTTGGGCTCGATTTGGTGACTTCTCGACATCTGGCCCTTGGATATTTGGGATCTGTTTCTCTTCCCCGACAAGTGGTTGACTCGGTATGAATTTGCTGCCTCCAACAATGAGTGCGGGCATTTCATGCTGCCTGAGACATCCAAAAGTTGAAGCACATGTACATGTATGTACATACAGCCCGAAATGTTGAATGTCAGATCGCTCCAGATGTTCCAAAATCTTCCTTCTCGTTCGTTTCTCATACATTCCGCTCTGAGTTCGGGACCTTACCATGAACCCTGGAAATGGGAGATGCGCAAAGCTTGATCTCCACTTTTTAAAGTAACAGAAAGTGGGAACCTAAGTTAAACGGATAAACTAAACCCCCTATCCTATCCGTGCTTCATCCCGATTTGTTGGTAACCAGGTGTCTGGTCTCTTCTAGACTCTGGTGAACGTTATCGTTTGAAATGCATTGATGTTTGATTTGTGTGATAGTACTACGTATGTATGCTGATCTGTGGCGGAGTTTCTACGCTGTAGGTTGCTTTAAAGCATCCCTGCGCATTGCGTCTATGGATATGTGAAGGAATTTTTTCTGATATTGTCCAAATATGCTCTGAATAACCACCTGGATTGTCTTTGCTCGTAGTAATGAACCGTCTTACGGACGCCTGTATTTGGAGCAGGGTAGTCAGGAGCAGGAGGGTGGGCGAAAATCTTTCCTATGGGTTCCCTTGTCCAAAACCTTCATCGAAACCCCGGCCTGTGGAGCAGGACATCTGCCGAGACAGCGATCTCTTCTGGGTAACTAGTCAGGTGGGTTGAGGGATTCCGTGGAAGCGAAAGGGCAACGGGCTCAGAGATGTATTGCGTGTAATTCGTCACATTTAACGCAGGTGGCCCGCCATTGCTCATAGACCCAAAGTTCTCCTGCACCTCCCGCAAGTTACTTGAGGTTGAGTCTCGACGGCCATATTTGTGAGGAGTGCAGCCGCCATGGTGCCTTGCTCATCTGCCAATGTCATCAGTAACGATGATGTTGATGATGATGCTGCTGCTACTGCTGCTGGTGATATACGTACGACCCCTTATGAACGAGCATAGATCTCAGCTACCCTTCGAAAGCATGGTCAAAGTCTACATCCTCTGTCCTTCAGCTTTAGGTGCATATAGAATTAGTATAAGACCCTCCGATGGCGTATTTTCCTAACCTTGTATGAAAATCTGTAGCAGTTGTGGAAGAGTAACATTAGCCTGTGCGGAAGTGACCAATATCACCAAGATGTGGCCTGGCAAGGGTGCATTTCTCTCGGGGATTTCTTGACTAGGCCGAGATGATTAAATCATGTGAAGGATTGATGAGATATTTAGGTTCAGAGTTCGGCCCCCGAGCTTTATTAAACGCTGTCCCAAGGACAGGGATTATTCTGTCAATTGGAAATTGTGCAATTCGAATGCCATAGTCAATTGTCACTTTTGAGGATGGATATTACCACAAAGCAACATATAAATATCCGGATGACGAGATACAGCCCTACTGCGTAGAGAGTTACCACCCTGAAGATTGGAATTGTAATTGTTCTACGTAGATTGGTGCGTATCGCTAGGATCTTGCAGTAGCTATGGATGGGTGCGATATTAACGCCTCATCTTGTGACCCGACATACGAGCAGTTCATCGTTGTGTAGCGGAATATCGCCTGGCTAAAGTATATGCCTCGCGTGCCTGGGTAGATCGAGAGCTCAGCAAGCGGGTTCAGATCTTCGATACCTAGATAATAATCGAAATGAGCATAGTACATGAAGCAGAGTTCTCGCAGTGATATCAAAAAAGAAAAAGAAAAAGAAAAAGAAAAAGAAAAAGAAAACAAGACGGAGGGACGGACGGCCTGGGGCATACACACACACCTCTTTGCTGCTGGGTGAGTAGCTAGTCGACATGAAGCATCAGCGCCAACCTAACATTTTACTGGCGTCTGCCTCCTTCATTTCCCTTCAGTGCGCTGTAGTTTGTCAGTTAGAGCGAAAGCCGCCGTGCCACCACTGTGTTCCTTTGTTCCCAGTGATGGGGAACCATCCAGCACACTTTTTTGTCCAGCCCAAAACCCCTCTCCCAGCCGTGCGTCCTTAGGCTTAGAAGATCTGTCTCTGGTCTATCTCAACTCGTGGGTTAATTTAATTGGAGCCCAGTCGCTGCACACGCCACTAGCAGACAATTGCGTCCAAGATGCGGGGTGTGGCTGCGGCTTTCCCTAGCAGCTGGGGATTAGTTGGTGCGGGATTCGGTAATTTTGATTTCATATGCAGTCTGGGGCAAAGGTAATGTCGAGCATTGTGAGAGCCAATAACGGATGAGAAGCAAAACCTGAGGCTGGCCATTGAACTTGTTACTGACAGGTTCCATCACACGCCGTATTTTTCATCTTCTATCTCTGGCCAGGAAGTTTTCGCGCTTGACAAGCCCATCCATCCCGAGCGCTGTTGGTATGATGCTGCATTGGTGGATGGAGAAAAGATCAACTCCTGAAGCCGAGTTCACCCTCATATCCTATGGCACGTTTTTATACCCATGAGCCGTGCATGGAGGGCCAAATTATTTAAATATCGGGAAGCCGGCGAATGGCTCTTCCAATCCCAAGCGATCCTTTGTTCCCTCCAATCCATCAAGTGGCACATTTTGAAATTGAGGCAATCGGCCAGACGGGTCGCAAGTACGGAGCATTTTGATTGTCTCACTAACCAAATAGAAACCGCAATAATTCTTGTTCATCACAACTTCATAAGGTGGAGAGGAGCAACAAACTACTTGCCGATCAAATTGTTCGCCAAACAAATTGGCTTTCTCTTAGTTCAGAATAAGTAACCCATAGTGAACAAACGCGATATTGGCCACGGTCCCTACCGTGCCGGCGGATGCTTGATGCAGCCAAGTTTTATGGAACCTTCGTATTCAATCCCTGATTTCCTTTCTCCTGATTGGAACCCGCTCGGCCGTTCACAAGTAGTTAATACCCCCGACAAGCATTTTCGTGAATGAGGCGGCTGCCACTGGGCCAACTGGGCCAAACGCCAAAACCCGACCCTGACGAGATGGACCATGAGGCTGCCTCCGCCTGGGGAGAAGGGGGGGGGGGGGGGGGTCGAGCGGTCTTTGTCTCATTTGAGTATTTGGGTTTCTCAGCACATGCGGTTGGCTTTCCTAGATCTACTCCGCCCGACTACAGATTCCTCACTGAACCATGCGTAAATCCCTGGCATTGAGAAACGAGAATTTGGCAACATCTGCCGTCAACACGGAGCCGTCTGGACTACGGAAGGTGGTCACGAAATATGTCCGTACTTTGATCCCAAACACCGGTTCTTCACTCCAAGCATTGGCTACAAACTGTAACTCATGCGCCTAATTCTGAGCTTAGTGGATAGCTTGGCTGGGATGCCATGTGCTGCCCGGGGATAAATCACAAGCAGTGCATGAATGCTGGAGGTCTCGCCATCACCGGAGCAGAGCCGATCAAACAGCCCTTTATCAGGCTCTCTTTTCTCTCCTGACAAAAATAAAAACCCCGCTGTTGTGGTTGAATTGCTTTCTCATTATTGTAACTGGCTGACAAATGCCGTGGAAAATTATGAAGATAATACGGTTTTAAGGGGCAGTTGAAACGCAACTTGTGGGAACACTCCTAGGAAATTGCACTTGCCAGTGATCGAATGCATACCGCCAAAGTTCTGTGGCGTTTTGTAGCTGCAGCCAACTCAACAAGTTCACAACCAGAAGAAGGGACAAACGGCTCTTGTGCGAGTGCACTTACCGAGCTGACAAACTTGGTTGAGGCCACATGGAATGAAGGAAAGAAAATTACCCACATATCTTTATCTGTTTCGCGTCCATGGATACGCCCTCTCGTTCTGAGGATTAATGCGTCGTTGTGCAAATGCACAACCACATGTGCTGCTAAATCCCATCTGGAAATCCGTCCGACCTGCTTTTGTGATGGTACGCTTCTCCTGGCTTCAGGGTATGAATGCTTTCCTGATCCTGATGCCTCAGAGTATCCCACTCGCCCCCGTGCTGTGGGTTATGAGAGATGGCCGGTCTGGCGGATCACCAACAGCACCATAAATATATGCGAAGCCATGCTTTGGGACTTTACATAGCATTCTACAGGGACATGGGCTTCAAGCTAACCATCAAAAGCCATGAATCGTCCTTCTAAATTGATTGACCCGTGATACTATCCAATCAAGACCTACGGCAACTCCATACTCCATATGGATTACCTCGTTTCAATTAACGTTCCCATCCGTTTGGTACCCCAGGAGTTCGGTGGCCCACCAAAAATTGCCGGACACCCAGGAAATAATAGAATTTAGCTTTGTACGCCGTATCATGTTGCTGGTCAACATGATATTCGAATGTCTAATAATCCACAAAAGACGCCTGCCGGACGTTTGACTTGATCTGTGCCCTGGACCCTGACAGCGTCTGACAGCGGGCGAGAGCAGCGAGCCTTGAGACAATAAAAGGAAGGCAGCGAAAACCAGCGTCCAAGCTACATCCTTCTTTCCCAAACCTTGATTTATGAAACGTTTTCCACTTGGGTATGGTGTGGTCGAAGTTTTTCTCATCCGCTCGTTCACTGGAGCGGCTTGCGGAGCCGGGATCAATCAGGGTTAGTGACATTATTTTGGGAGTGGCCTTGACGGAAGAAAAGCGCTACCCGGGAGTTCCACATAAGAGGGGCAAACCCAACCTGGGGTTTGCTGGACAAGGGACCCCTAAATCTTTAAGCTGGCCCTGGCGAGCAGCATGTGTGGAGACGACGGGGGGGAACGATAATCAGAATTATTATTATGCTTCCGTGGACCTTGAAGACGGCTAAGCCACGCTCCCCAGGAGAGACCTCCCACCCACACCCAAGCACCCGTCCAAACCGTCGCCTAAAGTCTCTCTAAAGGCTAAAAGTCACTACACGGCTGGATCGATGAACCCTGTAAATCATTCAACTCCACTTGCTAGGAGTGCCCAGCATCCACTGCGTCCGTTGACCACTGGAAGTGAACTTACTTTACCGCTAATCTCCTCCCAGCAGTATCCGCGCAGTATCCGTATGATACTGGCCGCGGCAGCCAATAGGGCGTGGTTTATATCGAGATGGTTCATTCCCTCAATTCCCCTTCCTCGTACCCCCCATCGTCAGTTCTTTTCTTTTTTGCTTTTTTGTTTATCTTGAGCTAACAATCTGCAAAGCTATTTACGTTCTCGGTTAGCCACTTTTATTTCCTTTTGCGGGTGAAGGTCGAGAATTCTAGTGCCGCATGCCTTCTGTCTGCCCTCCACTCCCACTCGTTGCTGCGTTCTTCTCCACAACCAACATCCCATCTTCAATTTCTTTAATAGTGTTTCCTTTCACTTCACCATAATTTTTTATTTTATTTTTATTTTATTTTTATGTTTATTGTACTTTTTCTTCTTATGCGATCTTTATTTTTCTCATCTCGACTTCATTTGTATTCTTTATCTTGACGTTCGCTCCCTCTTCTACCTCGTGCCACAATATTTTCCGGCACTGATGCTCTCGTTTCACCTCTAAATCACTTTTTTTTTTTTTTTTTTTTTTTTTTTTTTTTTTTTTTTTTTTGGCTGCTGCGCTCTCTGCCTTTGAAGAGCCTGGCTGTGCTGCCAGCAAACATGCCTCGTACGCGTAACTTCCCGTGTGATTGGCATAGCTGTAAAAAGGTATGATAAAGACTAAGTGTCACATTACTTACTTGCAATGTCCGGAATTAGCTGATTGACCTGGATGTCATTGTTCTGTTTTGTTCCAGGCTTTCAACCGAAAGTCGGATTTGTGCAGGCACTACCGAATACATACGAACGAACGACCTTATAAGTGCAGTTTCCCAGATTGTACAAAAAGCTTTATCCAACGCTCTGCCCTGACTGTCCATTCCCGCACCCATACTGGAGAGAAGCCCCATGTATGCGACCATGAGAGCTGCAGTAAAGCATTTTCTGATGTATGTTAACATTCAGGGCGTTGCCAGCTACCTACCATTTGCACCATGACCTAGATAGATGCTGCGAAGCATTTCACGCAACCCTAATCTTTGTGTGTGGGATTGAATTGCGTCGTTTCCGTTTTGGCCGAGAATGGAATTAACTTCGGTTCTAGTCCTCGAGTCTAGCTCGTCATAGACGAATACATACCGGCAGGCGACCATATAAGTGCTTGGAGTCTGAGTGTGGGCGAAGGTAAACTTTCCCCTCCCTTCGTCAACCTTTGAATAGGAAGAAGCTGATCGTATCTTCCAGCTTCTGCCGAAAAACGACATTGACCAAGCATCAAAATCGATCTCATCAGCCTGAGATCCATCCGCCATCCGTTCGCACCACCCGAGAACCGTTATATTTGCAGCCGCCCCCTAACTTATTACCCCCAGCGAGCAGTCACCCCGATCCACAGCAAACCTATCCACCTCCTCAAATGATTCCGCATGGCTTCTACCCCCCTCCTATACAACCTCCCCCTGTTCATTCCATACCAGTTCCTGGAGGAGAACCCGTCATCGGAGCTGAAATTAATTATACTGGTTCCGGGCTCGTATTCAACCCCCAAGCTCAACGCTACGAAGTTCCTCCCACCCCAGTAGAATCGGTCCTAAGATTCTCCCCAGCTACTCCAGTGGTTCCAGAGTACGAACCTCGGCCTCCGATAATTTTCCACCAGGAAGTCCCTATGGAGAATAAACCCATGGTTTCGCGCATTTTTAACCCGTACCAAGACCCAAGATCTTGGGATTTCCTAGGCTTGGAAGGTTAAAGGTGATTATTATCCAAAAAGACACTCCATATTTGACGGCTACCCAAAGACGAAGATACACAAACGATGCAAATATTCGACGCCCCCTACCCTACGGCCTCGTTTTGGACATATTCCAGCCCCTAATTTTCAATGCTCCGCCTTTTAAATTTTATTGAGGCGGGAACTCGGCTTGCCATGAGTCCAGTTTATATCCTCTCTTATGGACTTGAGGGGACTGATGATCCTTCCTAAACTCCCACTCTACTTTATTCTAATGCCAATCGAATGAAGATTTATGATATAGGCAACATATACACACACGGCAACAAGGTGAAACACTCCCTATCCGTCCCCCGGACGCTCTCGTTTTCGGCAACTGGAGTTCTTTCTGGCTTTTCTTGGCTGGTTGTTTTCTTCTTTTTTCTTCTCCTTTGTTCTTTTCTTCTTGTTTGTAGTAAAATTGTCTGTTCTATTTTGTGTTGGGGCGCCATCCTTTTTAATATTGATATCCCTTGAGTTATTCTTTTTCACTTTCACTACTTCCTTTTTGGTTTTTTTTACCTGTCACTTTTAATCTCGTTTATTTTCTACTCTTTTCTTTCCCCTTTTTCTTTTCCTCTGTGAGATCTCACATATCAACTATTTCCATCATCTAAGTGAAAGCTTGAACGAGAATTTATGTTATCTTACATTTCCTATCTCGAAACATGGGGGTTAACGGAAGTAATTACTAAATAGTACACTTCGATTCCAAAACAATTGGCTGAATGAGGTTGTATCCACGTACTTACTCGATGAATAGGGTCTGCGTGAGAAAATAAGTTACATAATTTAGTTTCTAGGGGTCTTGCTCTTCCGGTTTTCTTATCTTTTCACTTCTGCTCTACGTTTTTGCCATTGTTTTTCTTCACCCCTTTCTCCTTTTTTGCTTTTTTTCCCCCTTCTCCTTTCGTTCATTCTTTATTTTTAATTTTATTTCTTTTTTTTCCGTCGCCCTTTTCAATGTTGTAATTGTATGTGGATACCCACCACCTTAGCTAGATATGTAAACATTTCTTTTGCACTCCTGAACTGTCAACATCGCAATACTTGCTTTGCGTACATTGTCTTAAAGTACTGACCATCTTCCTCAAGAGGGGGAGTTGCAAATGTAGATATGCATACTTGTTAGGGAACGTGCATACCAACCCCACGTTTCCTCTGCCCACAGTCACAAAGCGCCCAGGTATGTCGTGTAACCAACGTTCCCAACATGTCCATATAGCATTAAGAAACCTGACGACCAGGGTGCCGGATAAACTCAAGGAAGGGCATTTGGCTAAGCACCCATACATGTAACAGAAATAATACTGGCACAGGAAAAGGAAAGTCTGAGTACGAAAAATACATAAATAAATAAATACTGATTAACATTGAATTTCCCCCTTGCCTTGGTATTGAGATTTTATAGATGAGCATAAACCACCCCAATCCGTAGGAGACAGTCCGGATTTTATCCACAAACGTGATCAAATTTAACTCTCTCAGCATCTGGGTCAGATTAAGTTATAACTTTATAAGCCGATGCAAGGGGATCGGGATCCCGCGCGGTGATCCAGGGAACCAACAACATATTTTACCCGTATGTTTAACCTGTGCGTATAGTACAAATGATCTATCGCGAGAGGGTTCGGCACATGTCTACAGCGTAGTTCTCGCGCGCTCTTGTTTTTGGTGAAGAGGCCAAAAAGAAAAATATAAATAAATAAATAAAGAATCGGCGAATTCTCAACGGGGCGGCGCCCGGCGAAAAAAAAAAAAGCATTTTTAGTTAGCCCCCGGCTTCTTCGGAAAAAGGTCTGCCTGGCCTGTCCATATGGGCAATGGTATGGTATGGTTCGACGACGTGTGAGAGAAAGGGGGGGATTTCCGGTGCTAGCAGCCCGAGGGTTAGGAGGACCGGGCCGAAACGGAGTGGGGTGAAATGTTTGTTCGGTGGAGACGGGTGCATGGCTGGCCACATGGGCGCTTCCCGGCTCCCGGGCGCCGTCCGTCGGCGAGAGATACCATACCGCAGCCGGCTAGTGAAAGTTTAACCCTGAGTAGTTTGAACTCTTTCCTCAAGGGGGTTTTTACATAGTAGAGGGTGAAACTTTGGAGAACATCCACACGGAGAAATATCGCTCAGGAAAACCTCGGCAGCAGCAGAAGAAGAAGAAGATCCAAAATATAAGAAAGATAGAACTTACAAATCCGTTGCACAGGAAATTGATCAGATAGCGCAATACCTACTCAAAATAACTTCATCGGTGGCCCAATTCTTTTTTATTTATTTATTTTTGCCTTTTTGTGTTGTGAGAGCTTGTTTCGATTGATACCATGGATTCCGCAGCTAAATCGCGTTAGAAACTTTGTTTAAAGCATGCTGTCACCATGACATCAAATCTATGAAAGCCATCTCCCACTTAATCGACATATAATCCTGTGCATTGGGGGGTGGAATCGATCTTGAGGAACCCGAGGCCTTCTTTTGTTTCCTCATTTGGAACTTTTGATATCCACGCTGACAAATCTCAGCCACGGAATATTTCCGGTGTCTTGGCATAATCAGATAAGATTGATTAAAGGGATCTGATAACCTGCCCTCAAACTCTCCCGGCTTGGAAAAACCGCACAATACCAGCAACGTCATTTCCTGCTCCATATACATATAAAAAATAATTTGAAAGTATACGGAGGGTAGAAGATATCGCGGCGCTGTCGGAATACCAACTTTGAAAAGATGCAAGCTCTGCTTCGTCGCGGGGCTGCGATTCTCACACCAGGGACAAGCAGCCCAGCAGCGGACAGCGAAACGACGTGTACCACCGCACCAGAACATACTCTCTTTACCAAAGTCAACCCAGCAGTTGACGGGGAAGACTGCGACCGCGACTGTGCTAGCTGCACAATCCGATACCCTGCCAAATTTGACATTGACACTCAAGATAAATTATACGGCCATGTCAAAGGATGGGCCACCCACTTGCTCATTGCGACGGGCAAGACGGACTGGGTGAGGGATGTGACCGACGAGGAGGGAAGCGTCATGGAAGCGATTGAGAAAGGGGGCCTGGAACCTAGCAATGGGGTACGTGATGTTTTTTCTTTTGGTTGTTGCGTAATGAGAGCTGGAATCCATTTTCGTTTTCATTTTCATTTTTTGGCTCGTCAAAAAGATTTGCCCAGTGGATCATGCTAACTGTATTTGTGGACAATATATATAGCCCATGAAGCTGTCTGCTTCGAACATGCCCGTCCCGGATGAGTATCACCATCATGAGGTTGGGAAACAACCCACCACCGCTCTCATCCTCCCAGCTTTCACATTTGTCGATCACGTCACCCCTGCCCTCGCTTCAGACCTGATCACATATTTCGTCAGCCACTCTCTGACCACCACTTCCCCCCTAAATAATACCTCATTGCCAACTACAAAGACACGCACCCCAGACCCAGAGTCTGACAATTCAACTCCTGCCACGCCTCTTTCATCCCAGACGGAGACGGTCCCTAACTCCTCCGTCGGCTATACAGCCCTAACCCCTCTCCGCTCCCGCCCCTGTGGGCACTCTGCCGTGATTCTCCTCTGTTCACAGCGGACCCGCGACGCTCGTTGCGGCCAATCTGCTCCCTTGCTCCGGCGAGAGTTTGAAAGGCACCTACGGCCCCTTGGATTATATAGGGATCTCAACGACGAACGCCCTGGTGGGGTAGGCATATATTTCATAAGCCATGTTGGCGGCCACAAGTACTCCGCGAATGTGATTGTGTACCGGCGGAGAAATATCGACTCCGCGGACGCTGCTGCGGAAGCGGGCAGAGCAGCGCGTGGTGAAGAAGGGGCTACGCAGGGGATCTGGCTTGCGAGGGTTAGGCCGGAAGATTGCGAGGGGATTGTGAAGTTTACGGTTCTGAAGGGGAAGGTTATCAAGCCAGAGAGCCAGCTGAGAGGCGGGTTTGATCGTGAGAAGGGCCTGGTGAGCTGGTGATTTCCTGGCAGGGTGAGAATCGGTTTATTGGCTTTCTTTTATTTTTTATTCTTTTTTTCGGGCTATTCTATCTACTTTACATGATGAAATCTATTGCGAGACTTTCGGGTATTTTATTCTAAGAAGTTTTGGGCGCCTTAGCCATCCAAACTAGCACTATATATCCATATATTCAGGGGCTAATAACATTTATTTCGAAATCATATTCCTATATAAGTCGCCAAAGCCCTGCAGTATGCCGGCTTAGGCCAAATTCTTCGACCTGATTCCTGGGCTCTAGTGCGGCTAGGATGGACGATGATACCAGACCGTTCAATGCCTGATAAACCATTCACCCCAAACCCCGCCTCTTACTCTTCGCATCGGTCGCGCGATCTGCTTTAAGATACCAGTAAAAGTGATCAATGTCAAACGGAACCATGCCAGCAAGTAGCCCGCTCAACCTCGCCATCCTCGATGACTACCAAAACATCGCTACCGCCAAATTCTCCCACCTGAAACTCCATCTCACATCCATAACCTCGTTCCCAGAGACCCTGCACCCAAGCCACAATGATGGCGACAAAGCAGCTCTCATCAGCCGGCTAAAACCATATCACATAATCTCCACAATGCTCGAACGGACTCCGTTCTCTGCAGAGGTCATCTCCCCCCTCCCCAACCTCAAATACCTCCTTATCACCGCCACTGCAACCGTGCCATAGACCAGCAGGCATGTGCGGAGCGGGGCAGCCTGGTTACGGGGACTATAGGTCTCGGAGCCCGTTCGCAAAAGCTAGACTCTTTACCACATACCGGCTCAACGACGGAACATACCTGGGCATTGATCCTGGGCATGGCGCGGAATATCGCGCGGGATGATGTGGTGGTGAAGAGCGGCGGGTGGCAGGGGAGTTTTGCGGCGGGGTTGGAGAGGAAGACGCTCGGGATCTTGGGGCTCGGGTCGCTCGGGTCGCTCGGGACGGCGACTGAAAAGATCGGAGCATTGGCGTTCGGCATGCGGGTCGTCGCGTGGTCGAGTAATCTCACGCAGGACATGGCGGATGAGAAGGCTGCGGCATTGGGTTTACCGGCAGGCGCCTTTGAGGTTGTCTCGAGTAAGCTGGAGTTGTTTAGGGAGGCGGATGTTCTGAGTGTGCATTACATGCTATCATAAACGGGAGGAGGAGTTGGGTGTTATGAGCCCACGGCGCTCTTGGTAAATACGTCACGCGGTCCGTTGATTGGGGGGAAAGCGCTGCTGAAGACGTTGAAGGAGGGGAAGATAAGGGGTGCTGCACTGGACGTTTTCGATATGGAACCCTTGCCTGGTGACAGCGCGTGGAGAACAACGAGACGGGGAGTGGAGGGCCGCAGCGAGGGTTTGCTCCCACAGCATATGGGATATGTCGAAGAAGGGATTATGCATCGATGGTATGAGGAACAAGCGGAGAATTTGGTTAAATGGAAATGAGGTGGAGGATAAATTAGTATGATCCATTTTGCTGGCTTGAAAGAGGAGCACTTATATGTATGGACACTGTGTTTATGTACTGTACATGTACATGTACATGTGGGCGAAGTTCCCCAGTATCTCTTTCAACATCCACCCCAAAGTTAGAATGTCTGTCTGATTGACTGGTTATTGTAATTGGCCAGCTAATATTCATAGCAATATGATGCCTGTGGGGACAGCTGATCTTGCCCGGTGTCCTAGAAGAAGAGGGCCAGGAGCCGTAAATGGACCGCTTTTGACTCAAATATCAACTTCCAATCGGCATGGACTGATTATAAAATATTCCTACAAAACCCAACGCCTTAAATGGAAGAAGAAAATATCAACAACGAAATATCCCCACGCAGACCCCCAGGGCATACAGAAAACCAAGAGAAGAAACCCAGGCAAACAAAGAATACATGTTGTTTGCGAATTGGATGAAAAGTAGAGGGAAAAAAACCACACATCATTGTCCCATTGATCCCATTTATTATTCGCCAGAACACCTTGCTCAGGTAAGAACTGAAGACATAAGAAAAATCGAAAAGAAATAATTATATACTCATACAATGGGAGGAAAGGGGGTGGGAAGGAGAAAACAACAGTCCCGGAATCACCGCTGTTCAACGCTCTTCGGCCTTCCGGCGGCACACACACCAGCAGGAGTCGCTCAAGACATCTGCGATGACGTGCGGTGAATGATACTCCCTGCCGAACTAGCGGCAGAAAGGTTCGATGCCAAAGCTGGCAAGGAATACGCAGATGGCGTTCGACTGCCCCGAGCACGTAAGCTTTGTCTGTCACCGGACCTATCAAGGATGAAAGAGCCACTCTTGGGAGTGCTGGAGGGATGAAAGCGGCTGCACTGACTACTAGTGCCTGATCGATTGCTGGACGCGAACGACGCACTAGAACTGGCGGGAACGCTGTTGGTGATGTGAACGCCGCTTGATTCGCCACTAAACGGCTCCATACCACCGTCCGTGGAACTTTCAGACTGGATTTCTGCAATGATCTCCGGATCGAGTTCTGACATCCCCCTTAGGAGTTCAGCAAACATGCTCAGCAATGATCTGAATTCCTGCTCAGTCAACGGCGCGTCGGCGAATCTGCCGCGCTCGTAGAGGCGAACAAATGACCGGCCAAGGTCTACGGGGTTGATGAGATTAAGATGTGTTAGATGGTTTATGTAGTCACGTAGGGGCATGTTATGAGGCCTTCGGAGGATTTCGACAATACGTTCATCTGGAATTGGTTGATTTTCGCCAGTCTGATCTGCGTCTCGGTTGTCGAAGACTGGAAGACGAGGGTCCACGGGGGCAAGAGATACTGCCTTTGCCTCTATGAGGTGCGGAAGTTCCTTAATCACCGGCTCGAATTCTTGGTCGGGCATATCGGGGCAACCAGGGGCAGTCCAGCCAGGGTGTGAGATATCACCCCATGGCGGTGGTCTTGTGGTAGGGATGGTCAAGCTAGGATCCAACTTGCTATTGTCTTCCCCAGTCCTGTCTCTCGGCCGTGCTTGCTGGGCAATGATGGCACTCCTCGACAGACCCTCCACAACGAGTCTTCGCACACTCTTTGGAACATCAGGCTTCTCCACTGGAATCCATGGTTTGGGAATACCCGCAAGGACACTGCGGTTAGTAAAGATGCGGCTGGCATATATCAATATAGCCAAAAGCAGGGTTATTATATAAACACCGCTGACAATGAAAACATTACCCAGGCGGTGGGTCTTGGAGGACTGGTAGATAGTATCAGCAGGGGTTAGGAGAGTTAAGATCAAAAAGATAATGGCAAGAACAGTAAAAAGGGTTGTGTAAAAGACGCGGAATAACCGCGACTTCGTCGGCATGGTGACTACGTCCTCACAGCAGGATAATGCATGGGCGTGGGGAGAGAAGGTTGCGCAATGTCCTTGAGCAATAGAAGACGCAGCATTAGTTAGGGTGGTGACGCCCATCGTTTGATGGATAGTTACCTAGTTAAGAGCACGCTTTCACGTGACACACCCGGCCAGGAACAGCAGGTTTAGGTTTAAGCGGGCTCACGTGTTTACACTTGTCAGTTTACTATTGAAGGATGTTTGGGTACGAGTAGATATAGAGACCTCGAGATGATATCAATGCATAGCTTTAAGGTCGACAAACAGCGTGAGGAGGCCTTACAATGTGCATTCCTGAGGCAGGCACTATGCTAGTACTCCCGTTCTTTACACCAGTTCTTCTGAACTTCCTCCCTGTAAGGCGCTTTAAATGAGGCCTTCTTGTTCTGATAAAAAGACGTTGAACTAAACCAAACTGTGATTCATGGTAACTGCGAAAACGCCCTTTATTATAGTGAAGCGCAATAGAGTGGGCGCTTGGCCCAACTGTTTGGGACCCTGAAATTGAAAAAAAAAATACGAACAGACATTCTATCTAGGGTCGTGCCGCTCTAAATAGCATCAGCAAAAGCGAACTTCTGTCACGAAGCAAGATTGCGAGATTTTTAATCCTGAACAGCAACTTCGTCCTCTAGATCGTCAGCGATGACCTCACCCCTGACCCGGCGAATAACCCTCTCAATGCCGTCCAACCCTCGTTTCAGCACGTCCATGTTCGGCCCGTAGCTCAGCCTGACAAAATGGTGGCAGGGACTGTCGAACAAATCCCGCCTCTTCGCTGGATTCAGATCAAAAAATATCCCAGGAACAACAATCACCTTCTCCGTCAGTAGAGCGTTGAAAAAGTTCAGACCGTCTGAGATATTCGCAGAAGCCGGGAGAGGGGGCTCAAGCGCAGTAAGGTCCAGCCAGATATAAAACGTTGCATCTGGAACGTCAGTGATCTGGAAGCCAATTTGCCCCAGCCGACCAATCACATAATCTCGCTTCTCGCGGAAATGGACTTGCAGTGCTTTCATCTCCATGCGGACGAGAGAGGGTTCCAGCATGGGGATTGCCGCCTCTTGAAACGGGACGTTGGCGCCCCCATCCAGGTAGGAGCCAGCGGAGGCAAGGGCTTCGATGAATTCCTTAGGTCCCAAGATCCAAGCGATTCGCCAGCCGGGGAGGCGGAAGCGTTTGGTCAGACCATCGAGGATGAGAACGTCTATTCAGTTTTGGTTAGCTCAAACAAGAACCTGATCTTAAAGAGGTGGTAGTAAAGGATGCCTAATAAAACTTGCCGTCTGTGTCGACGTCTTCGACGTTCATCGCTCCACTAGTAGTCGAGCCATCACAACCAGTGCTGTAATTATATCCAGCGTAGAACTCGTCCAGGATAAGCGTTGCTCTCCCACGACAGATATCCTGTATTTTGGCCAGCTCCGGATTGTTGATGACATGACCCGTTGGGTTCCTGGGGTTCGATGTTAACAAGACCGAAGTCCCTCGAGCAATTTCTTCGGCAACCTTATCAGTGTGGATGTGATATCCGTCCGCAGCCGATAAGGGCATTGGAACTGCCGCGAACTATTCACATTCTACACATCAACACACATATAAATCCAAACTTGACGACTGAGGTCTTACATTCTTAAACAAAGACAACATCTCCGAATACGCCGAGTAGTCTGGGATTGGGAACGATAGATACGCATTGCCCAATATCGCGGCAATACGAATCAACCCTGCTCTTCCACCAGGTACAATGCACACATTTTCCCAGGTATAGCCTTGCTTCCCCTGCCGATAATGTTCATTGTATAACCTCGCCACCGCATCACGGAGAGGCTTGATACCGGCAGTAGGGCCGTACTCGCGGGACGCGGAGCTTATGGGGATCGAAGTGGGGCGGGGAAAGCTGCCTGCGATATCATCATCGGCTTCAGGAGCTCCCTGTCCGAGATTTGCCCATAGCGAAGGGTTTTCAAGAAACCCATGTTCGGAAGCCCTCTCGGTCGTCCACACGACGCCGGTTGAAGCGCGAGTAGCGTCGAGCCCGGCGTGAGGACGGTGGCCTTCGTGCGCATCACGGAACTGACGATGGGTTTCGGAAGTCTTCTCTGCGGTTGATGATTTTAATATGTTTGAAAGGGGTAAGCAAATCAAGGACGATGCATTTTGAAGATATTATCGACTTTAACCAGTACACATGTCGATTTTTATTTTTCACAAAAAAAATTAAAAAATTAAAATTAAAATTAAATCTTGCTACGAGGGTGGTGGTATAAAACAAACCGTTCTGTGAGAGTTCTTTGCTAGCAGAGAAGCGGCGGGCTTGGGAGGAGGGGCTCAGGATGGAGAGACGACGGCCTGAGAAGCTCATTTTGGGGGACCCCTAAGAGATCTAAAATACTCTAAGATATGTAAAGTCTGTATAGATAACTGTTCTTTTCTCTATGTTTCTATCGAGTAGTAGTGGTAGAGCGAGAGCCAGGTGGGAACGTTTTTCCAGTCACGACGGCTATCTCGAAGGGCTCAGAATGCCATTGTCAGTTAAATGCCTCACTAATTCATGCGTGAATATCTGCTCTGCAATCTGACTGGCTGTGAGACAAGTCGGAGTCTGAGGGGTCATGTTGGATCGCGCCCGTCGTGCAGCGGGCAGTTGAGGTTGTGACATGGCCCACTATACATTATTAATAGCACGAATCAAATGATGAGGCTTTGTTGGGAAAAAATATACTTTTTAATTTCCACTTCGATTTGTCAAGTGTAACAGTTCTATCACTCTGAGAGTCTGAATAGGAGGGGCATTTCAGTATAACCACATCTATGTCTTTGCAGAAATTTGCTTGTCTCCCATTCTGGGAGGATTTGGCGAAGAAGGCTACAGCATGGCACAATTGATACATCCGGCGTTATTTGACAACCCACACCCGTACCGTTGTTAGCGTTACACAGCAACTACCTGCTCCACGGAAACCCACCAAGTCCATAGTAGTGGTGAGGTCCGGTACGGAAGTAAAACCAAGCGCAAATAAAACCAAGGCAAATAGAATAGAAAGAAGAGGAGTCAAATATGAAGTGTGTGTGAAGTGTATGTGAAGCAAGATATAGATAGTTAAGATATAGCTCAAGAGGTAAGATGCCTGCGCGAGCGTAGCAGGCGAGTGAGAAAAATCTTGACGCCCTCGCTTAAGTCGTGGCGTGGAAAACAAGGTAAAACTCAACATCTACATAGGGTAATGTACGTTCAATCATACGGGGTCATTTCTTGATGATAATAATAATGAAAGAAAGGAATTCAAATCACAAACTGATTACATCGTCTCTTGCCAAATAATGCGGTTGTTCCGGGTAAAGAAAAAAGTTGATTGGGAGCGGAAAGCAGCGGCGCATCGGTGACTAGCATGGGCATCCTTAAGAGTAAAATGCTAACCATGTATTTCAACTTTCGCTAGCCTGTTCGTTTCTCAGTGTTCCGCCCGATAATCAAAAGAAAAATGCAAAGATATGTGTCAAGCGTATTTCAGAAAAACTCCTCCGAGTTTGGCCATTTGAAGATCGGTGGATGTCTGACAGCCGTGTAGGACGTTGTGCCTTTGGAAGGGGGGAGGTCGGAGAGGGGGAATCAAGTATTGAAAAACGACAACCAAGGAAGCTATGCTTCTTAAGCCAATCCTAGTGAATATAAATTTGGAAGCAAACGTGTCATCGGCGCCAAAAACTACCATGGGATGCGTAGATCGAGAAAATGAAAATAAAAGGGACAACAAAAGGCAGTAGCGCAGTAAATTCAACAGGTATACGGATCTAAAAAAAAGTAGATCATCCTCAATTATTGCACAATATCTGAGTCCATGGAGTGATAGACCAATCTCAGTTTTCGACGGGTTGGCAAAAGAGTTGAATTTCTCCAACCTGGCCATTGGCCAACATGTTTTGGTGCTGGTCGCGCCATTCCATAAAAGCAAGTTGAACGGCTTCATCGCTATCTATCGTGACAAAGTCACCGTCCTCATCCCTATACCGCAGTCTCACGGATTTATTCCCAATGGACCGGTCAGTGAATCGGGCGAGCTTTGCGTCCACGCGATCTGTTAGAGACCGGAAAAGTATGTTACTTGCGATCACCAAAGTGACATAATTGTCATCAAAGTTAACTTTGGCTTTCAGTTGGCTGGGCATATAGAGTTCCTGTTCAGCCTCCTGATTCACAGGGGAGGAAAGGCCGGATTGCATTGGATTCGATGTGGGCGCTGGCTGCGAGCGGGACTCGATCCGACCAGAAAGCTGGGGCTCGGGAAAAGGGTTAGGGGGGAGTCCATGGCGTTGCTGAATGCCCGGTGACTGGGTGGCAGTCCTAACGGGGAGAGTGTTATTTATTGGGGAATTGTTTTGGCTGCGATTGACTGGTGCTCTCATACTCGCCATGTGCGCAGGGATA